AAATCGGTAATAAAACAAATTTCAAATACCTAATTAGGGCTTCCAAATGCCTATATTTGGTGAAGATTACGTTATTGAAAATTTGATGGCTCTAGGTACCCTTGTTTTATCACAATGCAAGAAACACATACATTTATGCAGATGCTTCCTTATTTAATTTCTTTAAATATAGCACAGGGCGATAATATTTGGTGGCATTAATTTGAAAAGTGAACCGACATTTATAGTGAACCAACGCAAAATGCCAAAACGAAATTAATAGCCCTCCTGGGCTAATGCCTTTTGGCATAAAAAAAACTAACTAATGACTCTAGAGTATATCTTTTTAATGTAAAATAGCAGGCTATACAGAATTAGATGTTGCCATTCCTCTGTAGATATTTTCTCTAATATTTACTATCAGGTTTACATGAGTTGGCTAGGTGGGAACATTTGAGGTCATCAGTGCTTTCTTTTAGAACACAGAATTTTTAAGATTTTATGAATAAGATCTCTTTTTTTAAAAAGTGTATATTGATCATACATACAGATTTTCAAGACAGTCTGCTAACTTGATATTTTATTTTTTATTAACCACAATTGTAAACATCTGTTCTTCACTTTGTGCACTGCCCTTAAATACGATTTTCAATTTTAAAAATGAAATATCGCGCTCATAAGGAAATCACATTTTTAATTATTTTATTTTCGATACTATAAAATAATTTCCTAAATATAAGTGCCCAGAATTGCACTTGCTTAGCCCTGAGTAAATAAAGAATGTTGAACGTGAATGAGAGTATTCAAAATGCATAGTTCACTGAAAAGCATATCGAAATAGTTTTAGAAACCTTTGTTGAGTTTTCTTTTTGAATTCTAAAAAGCAATTAGATTTTGCATTCTGAACTGAGTAAAATGAAGAGATGTCAACAAAAATATGAGTTAACTTTTATGAGGAATCTTTATTAATGTGAGAGTAATTTTAGTCTTCAGAATGTTGAGAAGTTGATATTTATATGCAGTGCTAAAAATGAGCGCTTAATGAGTTGTACAGTGTGAACATTTTATGTTATAAATGTGAAATAAATAAACTATATTGCAATAATTATCTTCTGGTTCAAAATATGTTATCTGAGTGGCCCTGTGACTTCATCACATGACATCTGACATGTGTGATATAATAAGTGTGAACACCAGGCATGAGGTAACCCAGTAGTATGAGGCATATAAAAAGTTAGATTTTATCATTTTTATAAAATTGATTTTTAAAAAGTAAAAAATGCCTAAACATGAAAATTTCCGTCATTTGAAACTGGAAGTATATGTCTACGACCAACAGTTGCGAAAATAAAGTCCAGGTAAGGATTTTTGTAGACCTGATGTATACAAGCAACCATGAAACAATTTCATTAAAAAAAATCATAAAGATTTCTTGCCTTGTGGCAATGCTTCTGTACATAGTGTCAAATTCAAAAAAGGGCCCACCAGTGGCAAAGCGGTACCATCGCTGAACACTGGTAGTTCGGTCCGGGATTTGAATGCAGGCGAACGTGCTGGCTGCATGCGCTTTTTTGTGGTTTTCCCCATGTGTAACATGTATACGAACCAGTTTTCTTTAAAACGTCCTCCACGAAAGAATCCCTCTTAAGGCAGATAGCCCTCAAGTGCTTTGGCATAATTAAATAACCCAAACCAAACAATTCAAAAGAAATCTTTATAGAACTTATATAAAAAAAAAAAAATGGCTCTAAGCTTTGGTGTCTAGACTGATTGGTTTCTGATTTTGTTTCAGTCAGTATTTACTTATATCAACACTTTTTTTTACGTTTTACCTCAACGTGAGATGAAACAAGAATTAAGATACAGGCCAGACCGTTACGGCAAGAAGCCAAATCAAAGCACTGTTTAAAATATTGATGCTGGTAACTCAATGCATTTGTTAGAGTATTGAAGGTCGATCAGAAATAGATGATTATATACTTCAAGTCATCAAAGTTTTATTGATGCCAGAATTCAGCACAGGTTTTTTCTGTCTTCTCTGCAATTCTGGAAGGAACACCGTGGCTAATATTATACATAATTTCATTCACATGTATCGGTCTATTAAATCTGAACACTCAGTTCAAAGATGGCTCTTCAATACGTTTTCCCTCAGCAGAAGACCCAGTCATGTATTTATGTTTACAACATTTCACAGTCATAAACGCTTAACTAGAAATCTAGACCAATTAGAACAGCACATATTCAAGAGTGTCAGCTTAAGTTATTCGAATATGGCAAAGCCATATTTGAATTCAAAGCTATCTGCCGAAGAGGAGGGATGCCTTTGTGGAGAATTTTCTGGGAGAAACTGGCTTGTACTCAGGCTACACATGGGAAAAGCTATGAAAAACCAACCCCGCAGCCAGCCCATTCAAACTGCCAATATTCAGCAGGCTCGCCCACTCGAGCATTACTGGGGGTAATCAAGAAGGAAAGAATTTGATTTAATTATTATTTTTAGAGTATATGCATAGGATAGATACTGGTATAGAACCGATACGGCATACAGTTGAAACCAGATTTTTATCTGCTTTTGTGCAGAAAGGATGTCCGATCTATGCAATGTTGGTCCTGTAACGCATTCTCAGTACCAGGATATTAAAAATAGACATATTACCATTTGAACAAAATTTACAACAAAAATATTGTTATGAATTTTGTACATAGATAGATGATTTTAGTTAAGTATTTTTCTGTATAATGTAACGTGAAAAGCTGATAGAAACGATGCTCTACTGGGAAAATTAAGAATATAGGGCAAAACATATTTAACATTGAGTAAGTTGCCATCTTGTCAAATTAGCGAGACATCATAAAACTTTGCAACAGTTTTGGCGACTTACTTTGTTGCCATGTTTGACAGAAATCGCCAAACTTGAAGACTATTTGGTCCAGTCCTGTATTAGGTATTGTAATTGATGTTTTGGATAATTGATGCACTTTGCATCGCATTGTATTTAACTCTTTTAGTAGTTTGATGTGTAACTGCTGATTGTACTCAGTGATACTGTGAACACTTGCATTAGTACTTCTGTGGAAAGTTCCAGAACTCTGAAGTGTTTCTTTTGATAAAATAAATTTTATTAACCTTTCATCGGACCTGTGTGCATTCAGTGTGTTATGCACCCATAAACACACAACAATTTTGGTGTCAGGAGTGGAGTTGAATGCTAATGACAAGAGCGATGGATGAGCAATTAAGACAACTGGTGGCAGCCTTTGCTGCATTCAGAGAACAGATTGAAGCTGGTCCAGAAGAAATAAAAAGACAATTTAGTGCCATAATAGAAAAGAAATTTGAGGCTATGGAAGGCTGAATAGACATGTTTGAAGACAAAGATGGAGAAATTCAAGAAAGTGTCTGCCGTGCAACAAATCGAAGAAAGAGTTGTTGCCGTCCAACAACAAGTTGATCACAGGTTTCAGTAATGGTCAAAGAAGTTGACACCCGAAAGAAATTCATAGCGATGGCAGAAAGCAATTCTGACAGTTTTACACTTTTACCCATGTCTTCTCGTCCCTCTCTAAAGCTCTCCATGCATGGTGGTAAGACCTCCTGGCAATAATAAAACGTAATTTTCTATAGTGGCAGATGCGAATGGATGGGATTCTCAAGACAAAGCTTATCATCTAGTTGCTTCTCTAACAGCAGACACAGCGGATATTCTTCATACTCTTCCCAAAAGCCAGAGGCTACACTTCAATGCTTTATCTGACACGTTGGAGCTGTACTTTGGGGAGAAATATTTAAAAGACTATAGCAGGCTTCAATTAAAATCTTGCCAATCAGGAGCTCATTAAAAAGACTACTGCAGTAGGCTTCACTTAAACTCTTGTCAATCAGGAGCTCGCCATGGATGCTGAACGGCTGTCTCATCTCACCTTTTCGGGTTGCACATCAGAAATAAGGGGTATCCTGATAGCAGTTAATAAAACGTAACCATGATCCAAATTATGCTGAACTGAAATCTTGGGCAAAAATTTGACAGTCAAATTACCATGCCTATGAAGTAAAATTTTCATTATGCATTTAAAAACTACATGCAAAAGATACAACATACTTAATAGAGGAGGTGATGTGACATTTGCGCACATCTCTGCAGGAGCATGTCATTATTTAACAAGTATAACCACTAATAGGCAATAAGTGACACTTGCACACAGCCTATCAGAAGCAATCGATTAGCTTTATGAGTTTTCTTAAGTAGTGCCCATTCCTATTCTAACCGTTGTTGAGTGTTTTTTTTTGGGGGGGGGCGGTATTATTAGTTTTTCCCAAGTTCTTTTTAGAAAACTTACATAATATGAATTTCGCCTTTACTGAAATATCAAGCTGTCAAGATGACTAAAAATGTCATAATTAACTTGGAGGATTTGAAAAAGTGCATAAAAGCCACAGCATTCATCTTAAAGCTGGAGAATAGCTAAGAATATACAAGAATATCTTGTTTATTAGTCAGTCAACTTAAATTTGAATCCCACCAAGAACTTTAAACCACCTTAAGAATAACAAAGGGAAATTCTCAAGTGACCTCAGTGCCCTGACCATATCAGTTGAGAAACTCTAAATAAGAGGCGAGAAATTACATTACTACATGTGTCAAAAATCTGGAATTGTTTCTGAAGGACTGGACTTATTATAAAATTTTATAGTTGCACATTATATGAATTCATTTCATAATACAGTTTTGTGCCATCTTTAATATGCAGGAATTACAATTCAAATTTTGTTCTTAGTGGTAATAATATAGAACCTCTTTTATAATAAAAGTCTAGTTATTAGAGTTTACTTTATTATCAGAAAAATTTGATAAGAGGTGTATTTCTATAGGAATTGCATATAAATATGCAATATGCTGTTATTAAATTTAAAATTAAAAATAACTAGATTATCTTACAAAATTTATTTTAAATCTTCCATAAAAATTTATTTCAGTGTTAAAGTAGTAAATAAAAAGTTATATTAAAGTGGTAAATAAAATATGACAAATGAATATTCTATTTATTTATATTAAAATACATTAATTTACATGTTAATACAATGCATGAAATACAATAAATCATGCCCATACTTCACAGATGTACTGATAATCCTTCTTCAATTGCCTTACAAAAGAATTTGCTTCTTCAGGATTAAAATCTGCGGGGAGGAAAAACTTTAAAAGTTTAAGTTAATAAGAACATATTATAAATCAATAAAAAATATAAATGTAATAAAATTCTCCAAATAACTTATATTATTTAGATTTTAACAACTTTACACAACACACTGAATTATTTGGTTGTAATTTACTAATGTTTTAATAATTTATCAGACTAATTTGCCTACACTCTATTGATTAAAATATATTTTTTCAATCTTAAGGTTTTTTTTAATATACATATCTTCTCGAAAACTTTCAGTGTGCTAAAAGATATGTCAAGAAACAACATATAAACCTACTTTTTAAAAGTAAATTTAAGCAGAATTAAAAAACTTTTAACAACATTCTTGATGATTTATACATTAATCAGAAGTTCAATGTTTTAATAAGTTATTGAAATAAAAGCAACCATATCAACTCGTATGTAGTTTAGAGAATTCATTTATATTATGAATCACATCTTTCTAATTCTAAAAATGAAGAGAATTCTTTTCTGCAGATAAAAAGAGATATAGCTAGAATTTCTGCAGATAAAAAGAGATATAGCCAAGCTTTTCTAGATATTCTTTAGCAATGAAACTGCCAAGTAATGGGAACCTCCAAATATTTATTAAAAATCTAATTTTACTTTCTCAAGAAATTAACATTTAATTTTATTATCTTGGATTTCATTCTCAGCTTCAGATATTAACAGAAATATATCATGCTAATATAGAATAATAGACTGATTAATTAAAGATAGCTTATTAAATGCAAGAAAATTACCAAAATTTGATTGAAAGACTTCAGTAAATGCTTGCTGTACATCTTGAGCCATATTCTTTGCATCACCACAAACAAAAATTTTGCTTCCTGCTTTAACAGCGGCAGCAATGCCTTCAGCATGTTGTCTAATATTTTCATGAACATATTTTGTCATTTTGTTGCAAGATGAGCAGACTTCTCGAGAAAATGAGACTTTAAGATGTGTTAATACACCACACGACTGAAACCTTTCGAGTTCTTCTCTGTAAAAAAAAGGATAATTTTATTTAATTCAGTATTTCTTAGGATGTAATAATAATTTAAAACAAATAAGAATGCTGATGTGTTATATGCCATGCATTAAAAAGTACACTGAAAATTTTTTTGTAGATAATAAATAATACTTTTTCACACCTTTTAACATAATAATTTGAGAATTAAAACTTAGTTTTCTAATTATTCAAAAAGTTTAGAATACAAGTATCATTATTAATAAATATATTTTTATCTATATCTGAATTTATGTACAATCAACTTCTGATTAACCAGGCAACAAATTAACTGGAACCTGTCTAAAAAAAAGTTAATTTTTTTTTATTGAAGAATGATGGAAGAAATTACTATCACAAACTATAAGCATAAAACAAAACTGTTAGTGGAAAAGACAAAAGGGAAAAGAAAAATGGTTACTTTTTCATTTTGTCGGCGCAAGCGATAAAGTTGCCAAAAATGGTACAACCAATGCCAAACGGAATATACTCGCTGGGAACTTATTACGTCTCATTTTCAAAAACAAGTGGCAGCCATTTCTTATCAAATTGATTGTTTCTTTCAATACTGCATACAGTTACATAGAATTTTTACCAGATAGTTCAATTTTATGCCCCAAGGCCATTCACAGTAATTAAGTCAATTAGGATGCAATCACACTGCTCACCCAAAGGTGAAAATATGGAAAAGGCAAAGTCAAGGGTTAAATTCAATGAGAATGCACTAGCGAAGTAAAGCACTGCGGTTTTACATAATTTCTGAGTAAGCTATTCATACAAATTGAAATAATTCTTGCATTTAAACTTGTATTCCAAATTAAGATTTAACTTGAAATTAATGTAGATAATTAGTGAGAGAATTAGATTTTTATAGTCTAGTTTACATGAGATGAGATCACTTGGGATCACATGATATGAAACAGAGAATCAGGATGTTCTACCATGAAAGCATAGTAAATTCTTAAATTAATGTCTTTTTGCAAATTTATTATCTTTATTTATTGGCTTTTTACAAAATTTTAAACTATATTAAAATGTTTATGCCTTCAAAATAAAAATTTTTTAGACCTAACATTTGTTAACATTTTTTATGTGTACACTGTGTGTTGTCGCCAAGTTAGATAAATTTATATAACTTGGCGAGATATGCGCCAATGAAACAGAAAAGTACCGAAAAATGTATGGAATAACAAAAGTGATAGTAGTTGAAGTCACAGCATTTGGGAGTTATTTTTAACAACAACAGTATGTATTTTAACTGTACATAATCTGAAATATGTAAACATTATAAAATAATTATGTGGTTTGAATTTAATGACAATATTTAATTTCTTTTTTAAATATTGATCCTATATGCTATTTGTAGCTTAGTTTCTTCACTTCTAATGATATTAATTCTTCAGTTATGTATTCTATTTACAATGAATATTTATATGACCAAATGAACTTTTTCTGTACATTAAACTGCTTGAAAATACAGGTAAAGCAATATTTCCTGTTAAATTATAACACGAGTTATTCCTCTTTCATATTCTTTTTTAACTGTCTTCCAGTTAAATGTAATTTTAAGTCAACTGTGGACCCTGTCCCTATTGTTACCCCAATAAATTGGGAGTTAATCATACCAGTTTTCTATTTTTTTTTAAAAAAAAAAAAAAAAAAAAGGTTCTTTTACACACTACATTCAAAACTGATTAATTTCATAAGAAAACTACATATTTCTCTATATTATATAAATTATTGACAAATTTTTTTGCTGGAAGAAATTAAGTATTACTTGTATAAAAAGTCTTTGTTTTTATAACGACAACCATAAAATAGCCACGTTTCCCCAATGTTCGAGTCCAAATTCTGAGTTTTCATAAGATTTTCACTGAAAAAGTACACACATCCACATGAGTATTAAAAAGTAAGGAAATACTACATAAATAAGTTAGTAAAAATTATTTAATTTAAAAAGCAAAAGTAGTACCTTACCGATGTTTCAAAAATCCTATAAAAGGAGCTATTCCAGTACCAGGACCTACCATAATCACAGGACAATTTAAATTCTCTGGGGAGTAAAAATGTGAGTTCTGTCTTTTATACACAAAAATGCTGATCTAAAAAAGCAAATAATTTTGTTGATTAATTTTAATTAATTTTTATCAGACTAAATTTTAATGAATTTTTTTGGATTTTTATAAAAATAATCATGTAAATTTATAATATTTCTTTATTCAGTAGTCTTGTACCTAATGCTCCAATACTTTCACTAACTTTTCTCTTCTTCAAAAATTTCATATGTTAAAGATTCTTTTATAAAACTGCTTACGAGTATACACTGCAATTTATTCTCATGCTCCTGTCTTCATGTTTATGTAACTGTATATATGCCACACTTAACACAGTATAAAACTAAGTAAGAACAGTATAATGATTATCGTAATGTATTATTTAGAGAAAAACTTAACAAAAGTCCCATACCATGCACACATTTATGGAAAAAACAAAAAAAGCAGATTTCATACACTAAAAACAAGTGTTTTCAATTCCTCTTGGATAATTTATACTGACATATAAAAATCTAGCAGTAAAACTATTTAAAAAAGTTATTATCTTAGAATTAAAGCTTATAATGATTTTCATAAGTATAGATCTTCAATATGAAGCTCTTACATATTAAAATTAGAAATGTGATAACAAAGTTATATCACCAATTACTGATTTTATAAAAATATTCTAGAAAAACCTCTTCAATTAAATCTGTGGCAGTCACATTTATGATCATTTAACTTCTTCAGAATTTACCAATAGCTTAGTTACTTACACTTGGAAAATACCTTGACAAATTAAATGAAAATCAACATATACAATGAGAATAATCTTCACAATTAAAAATTCCTTTTTGTGAAAATATTTTTATATATTTTTAAGATGAGTAGCACTGTCCTTAATGAGGAAAAAGAAATGGAAACATAACTCGGACAACTGATGACAAGTGCAAATAGTTCTACAATATGTAAAAATTCAATAATTTATCAAGCCCTGTGATATGTCACTGCATATATTGTACATATATTTTAAAATGTTTGAGCTTTTCTTTATTCAAAAGAAAAAATAAACTTTTGGATTTGGTTTTCAATATCAAAGCACTACCAACTGGATGACAATAATAAATAAAGGAGGCCTTACGCACCTCACAGAAGGATGGATAAAAATCTTTTGTGATTTGTAAGAAATTTTCAAACCTAGAAAAATATAAAAGGAATAAGTCAAATTTTAATAAAACATCCCTTTAGTGTCTAGCTTCTAATAGAGACAAAATTATCTACATGTTTTGCATGTATGAGGCCTGGTAATGAGGGCCAAAGTACTGTCCTCGAAACACTGCATTGGCCTCCACTTCAGACTGACACAGGAGACACTGAGCTGTCCATATTAGTTTAATCTGCTGGCCATTAGTCCTTAATGTCAATTACTTGAAATAGGTTTGAACTGCAGTGAACAGTCCTCAATGAGAAATATGTTTGTTAAGACAAGAACCCTAATAAGAATGAGAAAAATGAATCTTTCTAAGTATAGTTCTTAGCTTGAAAAGTACAGAAAAATGATAAGAGAATTCCAATTCAAGTAAAATATATGATCATATGCAAATTTAAGAGAACAGAGACTAGTTGGAGCAGATTGAATCAAGTGATGTTATATTTTATGGATTCATCTTAAAAGAAAATTTCTGGTCAAGAAGAGCAAACCCTGTAGTAAATAATGAATTATGGGTCTTTGGGAACTCATAACTTTGTATCTAGCTAGATTTCAGAATGATGCCTTGGTAAAACTGTCTAAAAAATTGATCGTAATTGTCTATGAATAACAATGTCCATTTGCCAAAATCTAGCTACTTTATATAGGGAAAAAATGACTCAAACCAGACAAATGAAACCATTCAGCTGCTTAGAAATAAATACTAGATACTGTGGTTTTTTTATCACCAATTATGTGCCTAAAAGAGAGAATGATAGTTTCTTTAACACTTGTCCACAGTACTACTGCTTCCAATGATGAATAGAATAGAAATATTAGCTAACAGCAAAAGATGATTAGGTACTGTTTATTGATAAGAGCAGATTCCACCTCAGCAGTGATTTTGGACATCAGTAAATTTGGCAAAAGTTTGGCATATCTCACACACTACAAAGACCTGTGAATCATTTCAGACAAAACTAAAACACATGAAAATCACTCCATTCATTACTGAAATCATTATCATTTCCACAGACTACATGTGGCAGTTGTAATAATAATCTTGTTTCAAAAACATTATGCTAAGAAGATATGCTAAGAAGATATGCTTAGATTATGCTAAGAACACAGAGCTGCTCTGACTGGTAAGCATTACTAAAACATAGCCACCAGCCGTGAAAACTCTGAGAATTCATGAAAACCAGGAGTTTCCAAAAGGCTTTAATGTTGCATGGCATGAGCATTTAAAAGAACATACTGATTTACATTCAGTTTATAATGCATGATTCAAATAATTGTACTACTTATAATATGGTGTAAGGAATATTAATATTTAATTAAATATTCTTTTATGTTCTTTGGCTGATTTCATTTTATAATTTTCTTATTTTATACTGAAAAAATACTGAGTGGTAAAAGAAAGTTTTTTTTTTTTTTTTTTAAACCAAAGTACTTTAAAATACAATTAAAATAAAATTTATGTACATACTATTGTGTTAATAAACGTAGAACTTCAAAATACATTGATATAAAACTAAATTAAATAGAAATGTTTTTTAATCAATTAAACATTAATTGAATTTCTTTAAAATGTTCTATAAATGTCAAGACAATTCAGATCATATTAAAAGGTATTTTTCCCTTCCTTCCTACATGAAGATCCGGGAATCCCAGTCACAGCACTGCACATTTTTCATATTTCAGCACCGATATAACAATAATTACTCTATAGTAATGAATGAACTAAGGGCAAAAAAGAAAAAGGTGGTGCATGATAATTCATCACCATCAGGATTTGGCAACTGGGTCTCCTCATTCCCAGTCACCCTTTAAAACGAAGAGTACAAAAAGTATTCTTTTCCTTTTTTCTGCATGCCTTTGTGGTGTATCTGTAAGCACATTCAATGCGTATTCAGGTGGTCCAGACTTCAAATCCCGGCAAGGGCACTGCACATTTTTCATATTTCAGCGTCTATATAACCTAATGGCTCTACAACACGAAATATAATAAAAAGAATTATGCTGAAAATTACTAGGCACAATTTAAGTTTCATTAACTTAACAAACTTCACTTATTGCTGAGAAGCACTTTTATTAACAATGGCTAAACATTAAAACCCAGGATATTCAGTAATCTGGGAGATATGATGAAAAATCAGGAAAACTAGGTAAAACTAGGAGAGCTGGTAGTTGTTCTGTAATGAGATAATACTCTCCCAACTCCCAGTCTGTGTCTATTCTGAGGTCCACTGGACCACATAAATTTATATTTAAGGAAAATAATTATGCACAGTTTGATAGAAAATAAATGAAGACGTTTAGTGTAATAACTAGCTCAAACAAGGACATAATTATCAATGATTTCAGTTTCATTGGAGAACACTATAATTTTAAAGTGTTGCTGTTACGACATGATTGCAATAGATGTTAGAGTACTTGCTGGAAAGAAAGCAGAAGAGACTTAGAACAGGTTTTCCTTTGCCTCTGAGAAAAACAGAGAGGACGTTGTCAACATATTGTTGCTCTCATGGTTATCTTTCTATTGTCATTGATATCACATACAAAAAGCTTTCCAGACCTTTAACACATTCATATTTTAAGTCTTGGAGCTAAAGATACTTCACTTTTTTTTTTTTAATTCGTCTGTCATATATCTCCAAACTCAACTAACTACTTGATAAATGCTTCAAACATTTAGTAAGTAATGGGCTTCCTTTAAACCTGTCAATAAAATAAAAGTGCACAGTTATAAAATACCAAATACCGGACCATCATTCATAGGGCATTTAAAAAATTCCTTGTAAATTCAGTTCTGCATATATAGGAAGAATCCACAGAGTTTTAAAATTTGGGATAAAGGATATTGTATGCTAAACAGAAGGAAGTGAAATGAAAAAGTTTTTAGTAACTTCTTATTGTTGAAATTAAAACCACAAATTTTAATTTCTAGAGGCTAAACTTAATGAACACATTACTTTACCCCTCAATTTTAATTTTTTAGAAGCTTCTAAAATTATTTTGTATCTTATCAATAATGCAACCTCCACTCCTTTTCAACAAAAGCATAGAAAAACTATTTCAAGCCCTATCTTTCTTCTTTCAACCAAGCACTACACCTTTTACTGCATTCACCACATAAAACCAAATCTTTCATAAATTTGCAACGAACTCCAATGAAGTTACAGCTAATGATAATTTTTAATTATTGATGTTGATTTTTTTTTTAATTCACGATAAAACCCACTACCACATTCTCATTATAAATATGCTGTTAGGAAATGAGGAGATTCCTCTAATGGATTAGTCTGTTCAATTTATTGAACACAGTAAGATGCTCTAAACAGATGTCTTGTGATGCATACATATCCCTAGCAATTATCAACAAATAAAAACATTAATATTATTATTTAAAACAAAGGCAATAAAAAGCTATCTTTTAATTCTTAACAAAATGTTCTAGTACAGAAAATAAGATTAATAATGTCTTATTAGAGAAATAGCTGGACTTGAAGAGACTAGGAAAAATCTTACCTCTTTAGAGCTGAGATTTAAAGAAGATATTCCATTAACAATAGTATCTAGGATAGGTTCAGACGCTTTCTGAATTTCAGATGATAAAGCATTCAGCCATCCAGTACAAACACCTTCCCTTTCAGTCATTCTACCTTCCCCTTTGCAAATTTTAAGAACATTGAATAAAACTGTGAACTGTGAATCATCAACTAAGGGAGAACTACAGCAATAACAAGAAGAAAAACATCATTAGAAATGGATGAAAAAAAGTGCATAAAATTTTCATGAATTTGAATAAATGATAAAAAAAGCAGAATATATATATATATATATATAATCTGCTTTTTTTATCATTTATATATCATTTATGTATATATATATATATATATATTATCATTATTCAAATAGTGAAAATAAGTTTCAAAGTTGTAGTATGGCACTGAAGAGCATGGAATAAAGATTTATATGGCAAGATCTGCCACTGTTTTAACTTGAAACTGCACACACGATATCAAGCATGAATCATTATCATCTCTACAATTGTTTATTTTCTTTTTCATCGCAAATGTCAATTTCTGCAAAATTTCAGAATCTTCTTTTTTAATTTAAATTTTTTCCAAAAATTTCTCTATAAGGCAATTATTTACCAACCAACCCAAAAGCAAATACTACAAACAAGTCTGGACACTTATTTTAATGACATGATTAGCTGTGAATTTATTTTTGTCTTGCCACACATCTAGTCTATTTTAATTGATTATGTCCAGCTCTGCTGAACTACTAATGCTACATTTATTATTTGATCAAAGAACTTTGCTGTTAATAACAATAATAATAAATAAAAAATACTGCAATTTAAATGAAGATCAACAGTAGTTATTTTTTCCTTTCACAAATTAGCAATACAATGCAGAATTCACATAATTATTTCACTTTACTAACCAGCATTATCTTTAAAAACTACTCATCTAGATAGGATGGGCTGAAAAAAAAAGGTAATACAATAAATCCTCATTAGCACGAAACTCAAGAGTTCCCAGTAACTGGAGACTCAAATTTTATTTCTGGAATAGTTTTTTCCTACTCATTCACCAAGATATAGTTACATAAGTATTATGTATGTCATCATAGAAAACATTGTAGTAGTACATTAATTAAGGTACTGTAACATGAAAAAATGCACTCATAGATCATTTTATGATGAAAAATTCCTGTATATTATGCTGTCACAAAAAAGAATGAAAATGCCTGGCAACTTCATGATTGACTGAAACTAGAAGCCCATTCTGTTGTTGTAGCAAAAAGTGCCTAAGGTGTGTGACATTTTCTGGCAGGTTGGCAATATGATATACTTCTCCTCACTTTCTTCTGATAACATTTCTTGTATCTCATGCACAACTGTGTGCTCCACTATGGCACTTCTCACCTTTTATTCTGAGGGATAACTTGGGAAAAGTTTGCAAAATAACCAAGTTTTGTTCATATTGTAGACATCACACAAGGCACACTTTTTTCTCAGATGTTCAAATTCATGCAACAAGTAGCTTGTTTTTACTTCATCAACTTTATTTGCTTCACCACAAATAACTGATGATGAAATCGAGTGTCGCTCAGGAAACTTTCTTTCAATACAGTCTACTTCCTCTACGATTTTTAGTTTTGTTTGCAGATCTACACCTGTCTTCTTCCTCTTGGCCTTAGTTCTTGCATCTTAAAAGCTACCAGAATGCCAATTACAGGTCTGTCAAACAGTGCTGCTGGAATTTTAAGAGAAGAAAGTTATGTTGGAAAGTGCTGAGAACTCATGTGTAATATATATACATTATATCTATCTAACTATATATGTACAGTATATCTATGTAAATATTTATTGTCAATGCAATTCATTTAACTTTTAAGTGGAATTATTCATTTAGTATGCTGTGTTCTACTAATTTTTATGAAAAAGAGAAGATATTAAGGTGAGGTTTGAAAACGGAATGAAACATTTCTGAATACAGCAATAGCAGAGAAACAGCAGAATAAAAATATGAAAAAGTTTGAAAGTTCATATTAAATTAAAAAAAGGTAATGATTCAATCGACTAACAGTTCATAATTTCTGAAAACCAGAATTCACAATAATCAATGAAACTTCCTATAAGATCACATACATCACTGCTGGGACTGAAATTTTATTCAAGTTAACCTAGTGTTCGCCTTAAACGAGTTCGTGTTAAGTGGAGTTTACTTTACAACCTCTCTCCCCTTGTATGTTGAATTTTTTACAAAATCGATAAGAGCATCAGAATAATTCTTTTACATTCTAAGCTCTCTTAATTTAATTTGAAATATAAGAATTTTAATAGGAGTATTCTCCTTTAATTATAATTATGTATATAATTAATCAATATTATTTAGCAAATAAATTATTATTAACTTACTTTGCAGCAATTGCGCAAGTAGTAGTAACTTGTTTTCGCACTAAATGAATTTAAGATCATACAACATATATATATATCTATGTATTTTCTAAATATGAAATTATATTTTTAAATATATATTTATTTTAAAAATTGTAAATTAGTTCTTTTGTTTTTTTATTTCTTATTGGTTCATATGGATTACGTATAGTTCTTTAATAGTTTCTTTTTATTGATATGCATATTCATGTAGGGGAAGTTTCTGTAGACAAGGATTTCTAAAATACATTGGTTTCTAGATTTTTTTTATTTTTTTATTATTTTATAAAAAATTAATTTTTAAAAAATTTAATTTTTTAAGAAAAAGTTTAATTCTTGACTTTACTTGCTTGTTTCTCAAAAGACTTAATTAGTATTTTCCTTTTTGAACTTTAATTCTTAAATGTTAATACTTAAATGTTAATTTCTAAGGGTACCACTTTATTGGAATTACTTTTGGTTTTGACTTTTACCCTTGCCTGCATGAATGACGAAACACGAATTGAATGATTGGAGAGTTAGGTTTGGAGGCAACTTCCCTTTGATAAGTCTGTCTCCTGCCTACTCTACGAATGATTCACATATGCATTTTTTAAAAAAATTGTTTAATTTTAATTTATTAAATTAGTAGATTTATTTTCATGGCTAGATTTTGCACTTGTGTTGCTTATGCTTCTGAATTTAAATGATATTGTAGATTAGTTCGAGAATTAAATCTTTTACATGTTTGCATATTTTAAAATTATTTTGGCTTTTTTCCTTTTTTTAGAATTTAAATTTGCTTTTTTACTTTTATACATATTTGTTAAGAATTTAAATTTGTTTAAATTTAAATATATATATATATATTTACACTCATTTGAATATAGTTCAAACATTAATTACATAGATTTACTGAAAGCTATTCAATCACAAAAAACACTAAAACTATTAAAATAATGGAATAAATTTAACCACATATATTTTTATCATCTTAAATGATGTCCATTCCAATTTCAGACAATTTTGACCTTATAAAAGATGACATTCTTGATAACACCATTGTTTGTGTTTGAAGAAATATTGGCCATTTTCAGTCAGAAATAGTCACCACAACAAGCTTTGCAAATTTTAAAACAAAACACAATTACAAAGTAAAGAAATGAATTCAAGAAAAAATAACATGTTATCTTTGTACAGAGCAGATATAAAACATCATGAATTAGAATCCTGCAGTTATATAAAAATTGCAATCTTACCTAGCAACAGAGTAAAATCTGGGCCTCAATGCAGGTAGATATTCTAAAATGTTTAAAAAGAAAAGTTAAAATATTTTCCTTAGATAAAATTAAGTATTATAAATAATTATTATATATAAAAATAAAAGAAAATAACATGGTAAAACCTAATATTCTTTCAATAGGTGGAAGGCATGATTTAAAATGAAACAAAATATCCAAAAGTGACAATGATGGCTTTCTTATGTAATCAGTGTATAACTCAGAACCTTCCTGACTGCTTAAAAACAATAAACACTTCTTTTCTTCTTTTCTGGCATACTCTGCTAACACTCGAAGAAAAACCTATTAAAATACAACAGTAAACATTAAAATAAAAGTTTTGTTTAATGTAATAAGCATTAATATAAGAAATACTCATTTTTGACTGAAAATGAGACAGAAGAAAATTATAAAAGAATATATTAAATGATATATATGAATTTAAAATAATTAAAAATCCTTAAATTATGAAGATAAAAATAAACAATCGTCATATATTTCTATCATAAAGTCTCTCAACAACATTATTTTTCATCAGTGCCAAAAATCTTTTAACATTATTTTATATTAAAACTTTTTAAGATAGGAAAAATATTTTTAAGGGGTAATACAGAAACTTCATACTTTTTTTAAAAAAAATTTACTTTTTATTTTTTATTATTATTTCTGTATGGTATTCTGCTGTTATTGGGACTGGATTAAAAAATGTACATATATATGCATGCATGTATGGATGTATGTGGGTATACGTGTATGTGTATATACACTCATACAATGCATATACACAGCCATCCATATGTACATGCATACATACCTGCATGAAGGGTACCTTTGTACGAGGTACCTTCATGCAGGTATGTATGCCTTTGTATGAAGGGTACCTTTGTATGAAGGGTACCTCGTATTTTATGTTTAATTCATAAATTACATGTTTTTTGTAATTTGTTTAAAAATATAAAAATTTGGCAATAGTTATAATGATGGTTTATCACAATTTAAACTCTTTTAGAATAATTTTCCATTAAAAATTTAGGAATACATACTTCATTCTGCATTCATAAAATTCTCTCTCATTTATCATTGAAATTTAAGCCAGACTCACATTCCCCTCCATTGTATTTTTTTGTTTCATACACGTAAAATTTAAAATGTGATAAACCACCATCATTAAATGTGTTTGATATTTTGATCTTCAAATAAATAATACCTGCGAGTTGCTAATAAATTTGTGGAAAATACAATGAATTAGAAGAGAAATAATAATAATAATAATAATCCCTCACACTCCAAAACTTTGTGTATTATTTTTTACATTATTCTTTTAAAAATATTTTTGATGAATAAATTTTCTTTCAAATTTTATGCTGCAAGCAGTTGGATTTGAATTGCTGACTTCTTATGAACCATAACATCAGCACATACAGCCAGTGGAGGAATTTAAATTAAATAAATGTTACTTAAAACATTAGCTCTGATTCACACTTATTCCTGGAAGATATATGCTGGGCATTAACAAATATATTCATTTTAAGTTTCTCTATAATTAAGTACACCAACCTGGTGAGTATGGCAGCAGAGCTGGTTGTCATATCACTGGCTAAGTCTGAAGACTGAAAGCATGAATGTTTGTAAATGTGCAATATCTTTACAGCATGGAATAACATAAAAATACACTGAGATGAAAATTTCTTTGAAAGGATGACAGTACAGGAAAAGGAGTATGCAATCATCAGATTCTGTCTGGAGTATACATAATCAAAACTGAATGGAGCTGTACTGTCATTTAAAGTTGGACTACTCTTCATTAGGAGCCCAAGGTATTCTCAATTACAGTACTCTCTTGCCCTTTCCTTAAGCATAAGCAAGGTTGTTTTGCTGGCTATATACACAGACATGGTCGTGAGCAACAACAACAACTATGCAAAATTTGAGTGGAAATGGTGAAACAAATTTGAAAATGGTCCTTCTATCAAATGAATAAGTTAGATAACTATTTATTTTTAAAAAATATTATGATATGAATATTGTATTTCCTCAAGAATACTAACGTTTTCTTACTATATTTTTGTTTTAAAATTTGACAGGGTTTTATAAATCAGTATTTTAATAAATGAAATTGCAGAATGAAAGAAAAGAGTTTAATGAGCATACTATATACAGCAGTCATGCTGTTTAATAACTAAATAAGTCATATACATAACTACCATGTATAGAAACTCTATAACTACTGCTAAATATAATAGCCATGACAAGATAAGGGATTTCAGATTAGACCTTGAATTCACTAGACTGTCACTGGTATGTCTGAAAACGAACAGGCTAACTTTTGTACTGTCTCACCTTCATTGGAAATATAAATTAATTTGAGATTCAGGCTGAACCTAGGCAAATTACTGCTATATCCAGAAATCAGACAGAGAATGTAAGAATGGTGTAAAAGACCTTTTATATTAAAACTCAGTGATTTAACAGAAGGCAATTCTTGTGCTTACAAAACCAGCTAACAGTTATGGCATAACTCAAAAGTAATGAATTCAAATTTAACCAAGTCGTAAGTTAGACTAAAGCTACACAAAATGAATAACATGAAAGTTAGCTCAAACCTAAAACCAGTATATAAGCTTAATGGCAAGAATACTGTAACACTGCAGACAGAGAGCTAAGAAAGATATCAACTAGTAATGTGGCCTTCAGTAGGTGGAACACACTCTGATTTCACAATTTAAAACTTTTCTTTGAATACTATCTTTTTCTACCTTCATTTGAATACACACAAGCTAAAATTTGAATTCTGGCAGGAAAATGTAAAGAGAGCGTTACAGAACAGTTATTTAAAATAAAAAACTGATTAGATAAAAATAAATAAATCTTTGCACTCTTCATTTTTCTTTCTATACCATACTAAAATACTGTATTTAATTTGGTAATTTACTTTTCATTATATAAATTCTAGTCAGAAATATACCTTCACCAAATATTCACCTACACTTTTATTTCTAAAAATTCATTCTAAACCGTAAGGAGGGTTTTTTACATTCCTGGATTTCAAATTTGATTAAATATGGTGTTTTTTCATTAACGGCATGCAAAAAGAAGAATAAATACAGTGAACTCTCTCCAAATCAACCATACATGATTCCAGATGATTTTGGTCTTCTATGAAGGTAACCATCTTAAATAGCTTATTTTCAATGCCGATATTTATTTATTTATATTCTAAAAAATATTCATTACTTTGAAAGATGGTCATCTTAAAAAGATTGTTATTTATAAGAGGATAATGTATTAAATCATTTTCTAATTATTATATGCAGTTTTTTTTTTTTTTTTTCATTTTTGGTGCACTGCTTTTACGGACAGCCCCCCCAAAAATGTCAGATATTTATTTATGAAAAAAAAGGCATGAAATATCTATATTTTGTTAAGTCAGGAAACTTTGGAACTACTCTGATATGCGCCCTCAAGTCGCCCACGCTGCCATATTACTATCTAAATTTTTTGTCTACATTTCGAACTTTTAGCCTAAAATGTCTCCAAAAACGCGGTTGTGAAAACTACGTTTTGAACACACAATTTAACTAAAAATCTGAAACAAAAACAAAAAATTTAGATAGCAAAAAACGTAAAGTTTCTAACCAAAAATATTTGACAAGAATCCATGTACACAGCGACATGTTTTAACTTAAAAAAACATCTACGAATGGCACAATGTAGGCAACGAATGAATCTACAAACTACGCACACCTCGCTTTAATAAATTAACATAACAACAATAAATTTCAAAGAATACCATGTACACAGCATCCTGTTTAAACTTTTAAAAACATCTACGAATTGCACAATTTAGGCAAGGAAGGAATCTACGATCTACGTACTCCTTGCTTTGATAAAATAACATAACAACAATAAATTTCAAATAATACCATGTACACAGCATTCTGTTTCAAGTTTAAAAAACATCTACGAATTGCACAGTCTAGACACTAAACAAAAAAATTAACTAAAATAAATTTCAAACAATTTTAAAAAACAACAATAACGACGGAAATTCATACTAAAGAACCAATGAACATAACATTCTACAAAATAAGAACAATGATAAAATAAAATGCACTTACCATGAATTAATGCATTTTCGAATAGCAGAAATATCAATTTCATACCGCCTTTAACATGCCGCCACGTAATCACTATCGTATTTACATAACAGCCAGACACACTATCCAGAAAATTTATACTATGGTTCACAAATAAATAAAATCACAAATCCCTACTTCTATCATGCACTGCCATTAAAAATAATCTCCCAGACCCTCTTTCCACACTTCCAAATACCCCACTACCCCTCAACAGGATAACCACAATGATATTTCCTTTTGAAGAACTTCAATTCAACAACTACCATTTTATCTTTCCCTCTCATCTTCTCAGACACAGAGACGAATCAACGAGCTCCAGCGAAAGATTTTTCAACGTCAACAGGGTTGCCATAGAACACGCAATCACGCCAAAAACCAGCGCAGAACACATATTGCCACATTTGGTAAAATTAGGGCATATATTAGAGTTGTACCAAAACTTTTTAACTAAATAACAAACATATTAATAAACAATAGTTTTTTATATGAAAATTTAAATATATGCATAAAATACCATGTCTATTCAAAATTATTACAAGCAAGTATTATGATACATTCTCAACCTACATTTTGATTTTTATATTTTAAAAAGTCTCAGTAATGTATTTCTTTCATGCAATGAAGTGTTTAATTTTGCCTATACGTGTTTTCCCCCTACCAATAATTATGGATCTTAAGTAAATGCCCTTAATGTTTAAATAATATTTAAATAACATATGCCAAATAAATAAGCATGAGTTACATTTCCTTCAATTTTTAAAATCTAACAATAATAAACCCTTAACCTTCCAGCACGCACGTATGCGCAAAATTTATGACAAATTCAGTTTTTAATGCACATTTTTCGCATATCGAGACATCTGAAGGTCATTTCTATTCCATCTTTCTATCCTTCCCCATATCATGGAATATGTCAACAGGAAGTCAAGTATTTTTTTTTTTAACTGGGCTTTTGTGCTATGTGGCAGCTTTTTCATAAAATTTACGACAAGCGAGAGGTTGTGTTTTAAAATTCGGAAAACATTTTTTTATTCAAATCTTTAGTAATTTTGTGTTACTAATTCCCGTGTATTATTTTTATTCGAATACATTTGGCTCTGTAAATTTTATAACGGTTTTCATGGCAAAAAAATATGTGCAACCAGCTGATTTTGCTCGGATTCTTCAAGAATTATCTGATGAAGAAAAGAAAGACAAGGAAATGTTTGGATGGGAGAACAATATGATTTCCATTCCTTATTTTCTTTTATTTCTATTTTTTAGACATAAATAAAAACAGTAAAATTAGTTTAAAGTGCGTTTTTGTAACTAGTAAAAAGTAAATTTCCTTGCAAAAGTAAGTAATGCTACTAAACTTACTTTTTTTTCTATTAAGGTGTTTTCCTTTTTTATTGCCTATACTTGTCTTTGGAGAATATTAAAATTAGCTCCGATTTTAAAATATAATTATTAAATAATAAATTTAAAAATTTTCTATAATAAAATACATCATTGGATTTCCATCTCACTAACATAAGAACTTAAAAATAATTTACTTATATTTGAATGTGATATCATTTGTATTTTGCTATAATAAGATTAATATTTTATTTCTTAACAAATTTTTTATCAATATTCACTCATTTCTGTTGTTTTTTGTGCCAAAAACAGTAAAATAATGGATGTTGTTAAAAATACGACGCGTGCGTCCTCATGTAAAATTGCCAAGCACGCGTGCTGGAAGGTTAAAAAATGGGGATAAAGATATGGAAGAAAGTAAAAATAGCACTCACTTTTTTAGGAACAGATCGCAGCTCTACACAATGTAAAAATATATTCTTAAGAGATAATGAAGATGGTATATGGGAAGGTAATTTACGTTTACCCGGACTGTCATTTTTTAAATGTAAATTAGCAGGTACATCCGCAAGATGTAAAATATTTAATCTAAAAATACACAAAAAGTGTTTAAGAAAATTAAAAAATATAATGAGAGCGAAAAAAAAATACTTGAAATAATGCATAAAGTAATTAATTTATGAGATTTATTATTTAGGATTTCAATACCTTTTTAATAATGTTTTAACTTCATCAAATGGGTTTGGGCAAATGATTCCAAAGGAATCACCAGGCTGAAATTCTACCTTTTCTTCCTGAAAGAAATAATCTATTATTACTTACAGCCAAATTCTTAAAATGAAAGGCTGGGGGTGAGAAAAACAATTAGTATAACCACTATGAACTATTAGCAATTACTATGAAACTCAATTTTAAATACCAGAAAAGATACATATTATAAAACAAGGTCATTTGTTGCATTATTTGCCAAAACAATTCTCATTATAATATATACATTCTCATAATAAAAACATGAGTGCATGGCCATTTTCTCATAAAAAAACACGAATGTAGAGTTCATCATAGCAGATGACTTACTCTTTTGATATTAGTATGCAGTACAGTTTTGATTTTCTCATTTCTTTGTTGTGCATCATATCCCACTACTGATGCTTTCCTTGTCAAGTGATTTCTAATCTTAGGAATCACATAATTTTTTTTTTAAACAAGAGAAGATAAAAATAGATCCTGTTTATTAACATGAATATTTATATGTTCATCACTGCTTGCTTTAGTTTTAGCTTTCTAGCCGCACTTAAAATTTAACTTGTAAACCAGTCCCAGACTTAAAAAAGGTATAGATCAATTAATACAACTACTAGTACATGTATAAATAGAAAATACTTAATCATTACTTAACTAATAAAATATGGCTTCTATATTTATCCAACAGCTCAACATGACATTAAATAAACAAAGTAGTGCAACATTGTGAGGAAATATGAAACTGTTCTATGGCTAGCCATTAGGCAGCCCAATATGATCCTGTAGATGTTGTTGCTAAATGTTTAGTAAAGTCTATTAGCATGCTGTTAGTAATATGTCGAATTTAAATCTTACAGCTATTATGAGAAAAACCAAATACCTGAAACCAGGTGAACATTAGTCATTCATGCATTACCATGCACAAATGATATTTTATTACCTATATAAACCGTCACTGAAATCTATGTACATTTCTAAATTATTGTCACTAGCTTGCATAGACCAATATGAATGCATCTATTTATTTAAAGTAACTGAAATATATTTTATATAACAGGAATATTAGTAACAATCATTTATGATCCAGTACTGATGTTCTTTACTCCAAGTATCAAATGTCATATTAACAATATTGGTTTCTGTGCTAGCCAATGTAGAATAGGAAGATGGTGGTGGTGGATTTTCTAGCATAAAACCTTCAAAGGTTATGTGCACTGAACATATGTCAAATGCTTCCAAATACAAATCAGGTTTAAGCACAATTTAAAGCTAAACACAAGTTTAAAACAACAGTGCACCTATAAAATCAAAAGAAATGATAAATTGATGAATGCTGAAATGAACAATTACATAAAACTCAGATAATGATTGCAGATGTAAAACAGGACTAGCACGATATACATGAAAATAACCCGAAAAACTTTAAAGCAAAATCAAATTAAATAATAAAGGCCACTCTTTTCCAAACATACAGTCAAGAGGTAACTGTCAGTCACTAAAATGCTTTAGCTGAAGTCTGTTAAAATATGGACATTCAACAATAAAGTGATATATTGACAGAATACTATTACAATTTGAACAAAAAGGTTCACTCTCAACCTTTAAAAGGTATGTAATAGGAGGAGTTCAGATGCATTCCATAACTTCATGTGATGGCAATAATACTAAACCCCTTAAATATTATAGAAGGTTATGCAGTGGTACTGACTAATAATTCACAGAGCCCTATCATTAAACTACTTGTAATGCAATAATGTTCCCATTCTTTGGGTGATTACTACCCTTCTTATGCAATTCCATGAAGTCCCATTCTGTTATAATGTGAAAATATTTATTATTCTTGCACACTGAAAATGATTGTTCTGAACTAATAAATCCCTGGTATGCCCTGCTGTGTCAGAGATAGCTGTGCTTACTTTTTTGGTTCCTACATTATGCTTATGTACATAAAAATGATATATTATCAAGCAAAACTCATGTGTATCAAATGTGTACATGATGCTATTACTAATTCTTGTAACTCTTGCAGCTCATATCTATAATTCCATTACTTTCACAGCAGAGAAAGAGTTATAACCTTAAAACAAGCTTGGCACGTTATTTCAACCTTCAATTTTATTTTTAAAAAATGAGAAACCATATATATCTTGTTAAAGATTACACTTCATTTGGACTTAAAACAAATTTGAGCAAAGGTCTCCATCCATTTACTATGATTACATATATATATATATAAAATACCTGCTACTCAGTAAAAAAAAAAAAAAAAAAAAAAAAAAAAAAAAACTTCAAAAACCTTCTATCTTTTACATATATGGAGCAGTATTATTAATCACATACAATATACAAATAAAATAACATGCAAAATACCAGAATGAAAAAACAAATTATATACATATTAAGCTTCAAAACTTTCTTTTTCTTACTTTGAACTACAAGAAATAAATTAAGAAAATACTAAAATATTATATATTTGTCTTTCTTACTTTGAATTTCAGAGTTAATTCAAGAGTTTTCTTTACATCCTCACTTACAGTTAACTTTCTTGCAGAAATAAGTACTGTTTCAACCACAGGTGATGCCTTAAAAACCAGACTGCAATCATTGGGTATAAAAGTAACTTTATTTTCCTTCAAAAAGTAAAAGTAGCATTATTCAACATAAAAATTCACTTATTTTAAAGATACACTATTAAAGTTTAATATAAAAAATGAAAGCTTCACAAAAATTTCTGCATTGTATATTACAAAAGAAATGTAATCATTTATAACTCCAAACTTGTGCAGTAAGCATATAATAACTGCACTACTACAAACCATATTATCTTTATACTGAAAACAAAATTATATAACAATGGTCTAAAATGCAGTAAAAAGGTTCTTATACCATTACAATAAATTTGTCAGAATGCCTATTTTGAAATTCTAAATTTCACAATTCAAAAATATGTATCAAAATCAACCTGCATGAATTTTATAGCAACTAATAAAAACAGAGTTATCATGCATTTGCCTGCAGATAAATTATTTAAAAATCTATTTTTGCTTGTTATGCTTTAAAAAATTTAATTGGTACTTTCTGATGCTCTTCATCCTCATCAATAAGGTATGAAGTCACTGGTGACTGGTTTGGAGAGCTTTCAAAAACTTGGTGGTGTTTCTGCAGAAAAACGTTTGTTTGGGTATCTTTACATTTATGTCAGCGGTGTTTATTTTTACATTCTTTTTCCATAAAAAACATGTACATTTCACAGTTTCTAGGGGTGTTGTTATTCTCTATGTACACAGCATTTGTTTTTGAAAGAGGGAGATCAGAAAATTGCACAAATTTTGAATCAAAATCCTAAGATGAGAATGAACAAAAGATACACATGATGCCTTTAAAGCTTTATCAGCAAATATTACATTATGCTCCATAAGCACAGAAAACTAAGTCTGAGATTTCACCAAAGATAACAAAAACTCCAGTATGTACTCTACTGCTATGCCAATATGCTGAAATGCCTATAGGAGATATCATAATCTGCAGCCACACTGGCAAAAATATCACAGGAGGGAAATCCCATCCAGCGGATGGATGTATGCATACCTGGGCTGCCACATATACCATACTATTACACATTTTCAGTGACATGGTGCATTGCCTCACCATTATATTTCTGTAGCTTTTTGGTGCGTGTGCAGATAAACAGGAAGAACTGTTTAAATATATAACATAAACCTCAAAACTACAAATTAAGAATTATTACAAGAATTTCTAATTTTAATAAAACAACTATCTTCATATATAAGAAAAATCAATAAATTATCATTTTAAATTATAATGCAATGTAAAAATTCAAAATAGTATAAAAATTATATAACATTCAAGTGATAATTCTAAAGAAGAAAGATGCATTTGAAACCACAGCAATAACTATACTAAAAATAAAATAGTTATCTGGAAATGCCTTCACTTAATCCTGAGTAAGTAAAGAACATGGAGTGTGAATGACAGTATTCAAATTCTGTGGTCAGTGAATAGTTTAAAAAATTGTTTTGGAAATTTCCATTGATAACCTTTTCAAATTTAAAAAAATAGCAATTAGCACAAGTGCATTCTGAGCTGAATAGACTGCAGACTTTTTCACAAAAACGTGAGATAAAATTCATGTCAAATCTTTATCAGTGTGAGAATAATTTTAGTTTTGAAAATGCTGAGAAGTTTAAATTTAAATGTTTTAGCAAAATAAGTGTTTAAAGATTAAAAAAGAGAAAAAATTATGTCATAAAGTTGGAGTGAATAAACTATGTTTAGAGATTATCTTCTGATTTAAACTGTGTTATTTGAAAGTATTATTTTTCCCATGACAGTTGAAGTCTGCAACATACACTGTCCAGTGACAGGACAAAGCTAAGTTATTTCTTATTCTGTTTATTTAGAGATCATGTGTTTACTGACAACAGATTTTTATGAATCAAAACAAATGCAAAAATAGTTAAATACTTTGTTTGACATAAGTGAAGATTTTATTTTGCATTTTTGTAACTGAATATTTTATTTTCCAATTTAAATTAAGTTGAAGCTTAAATATAGATTAAATACTGAGAAGGAAAATAAATATTTTAGTCAAGAAACTGGAAACTTTAAAGAAAAATGGAATGCTGCATTGGAGATTATTTACAAAGGCTTGTAATGAATTTGAGAGAGAGGATGAAAAATTAGATATCATTAATAAAATCTCTCCAAGTTAAAACTAATTGAAGGAGTTAATGATAGACTGTGATGAAAAAATTAAACAAGAACTGTTTGCTGAGGATACTGAAAAATTACTTGAAGTGGATGTAGATGAATCAGAAAGTTATACTGATCACTGATATATTTTAGAACAAATACTGGCACAGTTAATAGCACCTGACAGGGAAAGTTCTCTACCTTATTTCGACATTGCAGTGAAAAATCTGTTACTGAAGTACTCACAAATTCAACTGCCTACGTTTAATGGATATCTTAGAAATTAGTTATATTTTTGGGAACAATTTCAAAAAATCGATAACTATCCAACTTTAGATTTGTATGATAAATTTTCTTATCTATGTAAAGTTATGGAAGGAATTGATTAAAAGCTTTCATCATTATTTCACAATGCATTATTCTGTACATTTTTTCTTTCACTTAGTACTAAGTAAGTAAAGAACATGCAGTGTGAATGACAGTATTTAAATTCAGTGGTTATGTGAATAGTTCATTGAAATGTTCTGGCAATTTCCATTGACTTTCTTTTCGAATTCTAAAAATAGCAGTTAGCATTCACATTCTGAGCTGAGTAGATTTGTTTGGTTTAGTTTATTTGAAAATGGCAAAGCGCTCAAGGGCTGCCTGGGGAAGGGACGCTATAGTGGAGGACTTTCCAAGGAAAACTGGCTCATATAAATGTTACAAATGGGAGAAATCACAAAAACGTCCATGCAGCCAGCCCATTCACAGGATTCAAACCTTGGACCGAACTGCCAGTATTCAATGATTTCATCGCTTGGCCGCTGGTGGGCATAAGCTGAGCAAATATAGAGATGTTTACAAAAATGGGAGGAAAAAATTCACTCTGAATCTTTATTAATGTGTGAATAATTTTAGTTTTGAGAATGTTGAGAAGTTTAAATTTATGTGTTTGAGCAAAGTAAGTGTTTAAAGAATATCAAAGTGAAACATTTTATGTTATAAAACTGGAACAAATAAACTATGCTGCAAAAATTATCTCCCAATTTGAACTGTGTTATTTGAGCACATAATTTTTTTCATGTAACAGCTGAAGTCTATAACAGTAGCTGTGGAAATAAAATAAGTTTTAAAATCAAGAAGCAATATGTTACTGATACAACAAGTTAGTGAGAACAATATTTGATTTCAATTTATTGTTGTTCTGAAAAAGAATATGCTTTAAAAACATTATGTATTATAATGCAGGTTTCTCTCAACTTGCCTATATGCTGTAAATAAAAATGTCCCATAGAATGCCTGATACGAAATTAAATGTCTGGTAGAATTATATGCTGTAAATAAAAACATCTTTATTTGAGAATATTTAATGTGTAGTGTTTCTTTAATAAAGTTTTTGTGGAGCCAGGGGCATAAAGATAAATAGTTTAATAGCAGAAAATTTGGTGAATTTTCAGATTGCATCTTTCACCTTTAGATGCTTGATATATCCAAACCAGAAAAAAACCAGAAATTTAAGATTTAAAACATAAAATTTATTTATACACTCTAGCAATTGTTATTAAACTATTAAAGTCTTCATAATTTCATACTTTATAAATATTTAAATTTTCTGGATATTGATAAAAGATATGAGAGAAAATTTTTACATTAGAGGGGGAAAAAAAGAAGAAAAAATAAACCACTAAAGTTTTACTTCGCAAACAAATTGAAACTTATGTACCTGATATGCACATGACACACAAATACAAGAAAAACCGGCTAATCTTTGGAATATGGTAACAGGTAGTTTGGCGACATTTTGGTAAGGCGATAAAAGTTACTAGCTAGTACTTTAGCAGTGTACATGGATAAAGTCAAGAGTGTGTGCAATGCCATTTTTGTGCAATTCTGGGATGTTTTTTAAGTGAAAATAGGTCGACGTGTACATGGATACCGGGTACGTGCAAATCTTAAAAACGCGGCAAGCAGTGGGTAATTCTGCACTTTCTCCCAATTTCGCACCTAATCTTCATCATGATTAAGCACTTTTGTTCCATAAAAGTTCTAGCATAAGCATAATTCGACTAGCAAATTGTTGGAAAAAAATGTTGAGTAAAAAAAAAAGCCGTGAAAACAAAACGCGTCCAAAACAAAACTAGTAAGTTGCTGTAGCAGGGTTGGTCGCCAAATTTTAGCCAAAAAATTGCCAAGTTACCATAATCCAAAGACTAACCGAAAAACCTCTTACGAAGACCATCTCTAAAAGTGAGTATGTTTCTGAGAATGTAATTAAATAACAGCACTGCATATCCCTGATATTTATCTTCTGTAAAGTAACAACTTCTCCAGAGAAGAGCAAAATTATCTAGAACCATCAGTAGTCATCATAATTTGAATTTTCCATTTACATAAAGATAAAAAGTGAAAAAAATAAGAATTTGAATTCTTTTATTTGAATAAGGAAATGCAATTAACTTACTTGAAGAGCTTCCTCAAAACTTATAGTCAGAGTTGGAGGTGGAAGTTTGGGAATGCGGCATTTTTCAATATCAAAATCTTTAACAACTGGCGATAAAATTTCAGTTAATAATGTTTCAGACTGCTCCACAGAATAATACATTCCTAAATTGTTTAAAATAGATATAAAACTTGCTTTAATATTTGTTGTATACTTCCAGGCAATGTATCACTGATTACAAATAGCATACAAAGTTGTTTATATGTAATTTAGGACATAAATTCTGAATCCAAGGCTCAACTCGTTTCAGTTCCAAAGAAAGAAAAAGGTATATTTATAAAAGAGATAATTTCACAGATGAATATAACAATGATTAATCTCTTTCATTTACATTTCATAAGAAATGAATACATAAAATTAAAATGTTTATGAATATTCACATAATTTATCCTTTTTGTTCAGAGAATTAATAAAACTTATATTAAAAAAAAAAAAAAAAACTTCATGAATCCTTTACTACTGGTTACTATGGGCCTTATTGACTTGGTAATTTCTTCAGTCAAAATTATTACAATAATTTAAATTAGTAATTAGATTACAAGTTTTCAAACCCATTCAAATTCTTTTCTGTTTCTGAAAATGGTTCAGACTCGTATTTGCAGTATGCATTTTGGTACTTTTATTACTATCCATACCTCCACTAAAAAGCTGCATTGGTGAATTCGAAGATCATTTGGGAATTCATTGGGAACTATTTTTTGCCAGATGCAAGAGCCATATTCAAAATGGCAGTGTATGAATTCTATAAAAGAGCAATCAGTGAATAAAATTAAAAAAGCAAGAAATATTAATTATAAAACACTGAACTTTTTTGAAAAATCCTTTCATAACTCTTTGTATACAGTGCTGTTTTTGCTTAAAAAAACTTCAGAGAATACTCAAACTCAGTGAACAGCCAAGTTGAGCATAGTTTGTAGAGCCGGCTTCCATGTGGTTGCACTATTCTGAAACTGTACAACGCTGGTTTTGTGTACGGGAAAAAACAGACATAATCTAAGCTAAGCACATAATCTGAGTTGCATCATATTTTTCATGACATTATAAGTTGCTACATAACTATTTTGGCTGCATATTGCTTTTACTCGTGAATACTTTTTCACAACTTTTCGTAGGAGGTGCAGATAATCAGAGAGTATCTATGTTTTTAAACAATATCTACTTGACTTACTTTTCTCACTTACTGTTAACAATTCTTCTGACTTACTATGTAATTACTGAACTATAAATAATTAAAGTTTATAGTTCAGTCCTTACATAATTTCCTATCAGTGATGAAAGTTGGAGAAGATACTGCCAAACTTGCACCAATCATTTCGAAGGAAGTCTGAAGGAACAGATGAATTTTAACATAATTAGACAATCAATAGCTAGAAGTCAATGTCTCCCCCCCAAAAAAAAATCAATATGAGCTCAAGCCTTGAGATTATCTATAAAATCTAAAAGATTAGACGCATTTTAAAATAATTAGACAATCAATATCTACAAGAAAATACAAAAAAAAAAAAAAAACATTATGAGCTCAAGCTTTGAGATTATCAATAAACAGATTCAATAAAACTTGCATCAATCATTCCAGCAAACAAAAATCCCTAATAACATTTAGGAACCAAATAATGTAGCAGTTGCTACACCCTAATGGCATTTAATACAGCAACAAAATAGTCATCTTCTTTATAAAATCAGTGAAACGTAAATTTACTTAAATGTAAATCTAAGTGGCATTGTTTAGTTCTGTAGTGTTTCCTACTATGCAATTCTGTCAAGCCTCACAGTCTTTCAAAGTTCTCAGTATATATATGAGTATGTATTGTAACCTCATACTCATCATGATTATGTCATACTAAATCTTGCATGTTTGAGAACAGTTCTTATTTGTTACTGATGGTTGTGGAACTAATATAATGTACTACTCAGCAAAAATCTATTACTAATGTAAACTGCTTTAACTAGTTATAGTTTTTAACATATCAACCAGGTAACAATTTTTTACTTCAGAATTATGCTTTTTTCTACAATACAACACTTTTTAAGTAATTTGTTTCAGGGAAAAAGTAAATATTCTTTTGGTACTTTCTGATTATACGTAACCCTAAAAAAAGTCGCAAACAAGTATTCATACAGCAAAATATTATGTCACCAAATAGCAATCTATGATGATACTAAAATGTATTTACATGGCAATCCAGGCATGCAAGCAGCTATTTGGTTAGTACACAATATTGCAGTTATATGAAGCCAAGTTTGTGCAATTCTATGATGGTTTTTTTAAAGCAAAAAAACAGATCGCTGCGTTAATGGGGATAACAATATCACAGAAAAGAAGCATTCCTTGACAAAAGTAAGAGTTTTATAACCAGTGTTTCCTATTTTTAGTTTATCGATTGTTCTGGCATGGAATTCTTAGTATGCTGCTGTTGCCTTTCATTCTAAACGGTACTCATGCTCTACATTTACGAATAAATGATAAAATATAAGTAAAAAAACATACATTTTTTTGCTAGATTCTGAACTGGTCTTTCAAAGTGTATATCCAATTAAATGGCAATATAATGTTTGCATACTACAGAAGAAAGTAATATTGAAATAGCTTTTTCCATATATTACCTAAAAGAAAGTTAGAATCAATCCACGATACGAAATAAAAGTTACGATCATTTTAAAGGAAAGTGTAACATGAAGAACACAATTTTTGCATTGAAATAGATTTAATTTAATAATTTGACACTATAGTGAATATCATCAGCAAACAACTCTAAGATAAAATATGGCTACTTAGTTTATAATTGATTATAATATTTTATTTATTTATTTATTTTATTTTGTAATTTATTATTAATACAATTCTGAAATCATGCAAAACATTCTTACCAAACCGCAATTATTTTGCACGCATTATTAAGTCTTTCTGCACGCAGGACGATAAATCAAGTTTGGATATGAAAGAAAGGTGGTTAGGAAAAGGATAAAAAAGAAAACCATATTAAAACATTTGCAGTAATGTTCGGAAAGTAACCTTGGTGGCGACATTCGGCTTCTTTAAAGATGCGGGTTACATTTTATTACACTGTCCTACCTAATTTTGAAGTTTCTGAAATTTCAAGGGAGATTGTTTCCGACAGCTCTATGCGGAATTAAATTTAAAAAAACGAAGAAGATGGAAAAATAATTAACTAACAGATAAAAAATTGATAGCTATGGTTGCAAGCTTTAGTTCCCACATTTTGCTGCAAAAATCAATTACATATTTTATTTAGATGCAGCTGCTTTAATTATGTAAAACCTTTGGTAAAATTCTAAAGAAAAAAAATCACATGGAATCAAATAAGGGAACATTGAAAATAAAATAAAGTAGTTAAAAACCACAATCAAACATTAGCAAGTTAGAACTTTTCGCAATCTGCTTTATGAGCTGGAAACGAATTGATTGACTAGATCAAGTTCCCCTTATTTTATTGGTGCTTTTTGCAAGGTAGGGCTAAATTAACTATCAAGCAATATAACACGTGTTTAGGACATCAGGGAGAAAGGGCACCACAAAAAAGTGGTCCTTTCTAGAAAGAGGTCACCAAAAACTTTTCCATTGCCGGATTTACAATGTAATGTATGGTGCAGCTAAACTTAAAACCGAAGGTATTAATGAAGGAAAAAAACTGGCCTAAAAATACGTCAGGGCACCAGAATCATTTAACTGTTTAATTTTTAATCCGGCCCTGGGCATAGGATTGTATTTTTGAAAATCAGTAGCCAGATATAAGACGGACTGAAAGGAAGGTCTATATTACAACATAGTCTTTTTAAGATTTTTAATAATTTTCTAATTTTAAGGCTGCATTTGTTTGAGAATTGTTAATGAGTTTGTTTTCTTCCCATTCGATTCCTGGGTTTGGATATTCTAAGGAGTATTTTACTCAAATTGTCGAACTGCTTGAAATTGTTTGACTTTTCTTTGGTCTAGCAGTTCTTATTCATAATTTTCTGGATGTCGAACCGATTTCCTGATTTTCCCTATTTGTATCTTCATTATGGATGGAGATGCAAATGTGTAGCTAGGAAGAGTGCCGAGGATTCTTAGGCCACCACGCCCACTCCACCAAAAGGCATTAGAAATAAAATGTTGCATACTTTATAAATTAAGTATACGCAGAAGAGCAGTAGTGAGAAGGAATATCTTGTTAACATCTTTCGTACATGGAATATTTGTACTGAATGTATAATTTCCTCCAAGTAGCCGTGAAGTGCCATTTGCATTTCAAAAGCCGTAAACACGGTTCAAGAAAATCACTTCAATATGCGAATAAATCAACACACGAAATAACTAGTTACAAAGTTTATTTGGAACATAACAGTTATTTTAAATTACTCTTACAACGAGAGAAGTTCAAACATAGCACAATGTAAAAATTTCTGCTACAATACATGAAAAATACAGAAATATTTTATCGGAAATAATTTTTAAAATTTTGGTAAATTGATTTCATGTATGATATAAATTCGCCTCTTTAATAAGGGTTAAATATAAAACTTCTATGGCTTCAATGATAAAAGTCGAATACCTGATATGGGAAAAGATAAAATTCCTACACTTCCAGAAAATTTAACCTTGATACAAGGAAAAGGACTTCCTTAGTCACTCGACTTTAACATTCATAAAATTGCCATTTTTTTAAATCTTAGGGGTCTCAGTATTCCATGATTTTTCCTTTTGTCGCTTCGAACAGAAAATTTAGCTTCAGGAAATTTAGTTTATTTGTTCATTATTGGATCAAGCAATTATTTTATTCAGTAATTTTTTTTTTTGTTGTTTGTTCATATTGTTGCATTCTGCGGGTTCGCGGATTTGGAGTGATTGATAACAACCCTTGATGAAGAATTAAAATCATAATTTATTCGTCAGTATTACACAGACACAAGACAGACTACAACCGTCAAAAAATTACGACAAATACGCTGAAATCAATCAGCAACACAGCCTTCAGGCTATCAGGTTATAACGGTGAAGACAGCTTCAGGGCAAAGCACTAAAGTACAGCTTCCGACTCGGTCGATTGCTCTCAAGCTAATCTCTGAACTCAAAGCACTACTACTGAACTCCACACACTCAAGATACTCTTCACGATCAACTGCTACTCCGCATATATGCAGGGTATTTATAGCTTTTGACCTGCCTTCGAGAACATTCTCGAGAAGACCGATAGAAATTCGTTTTAGAATGTTCTCGCTTCGTCTATGTCATATCTAATTTTGTTCCCAAACGAGAAATTTTGCGCCAAATCTGGCAACGCTGCCTTTCCTTGTCATTTTCTGGTAGCTTAAACGCGCTTTGCTGGGGAGCTGTATTACCACAGCTGAGCGTTTCGTAACAATATTTTTATTTGTAGTAAATTTTCTTTTTCTTTTACTTTAATGCCGTAATAAATTTCATTTTATTTTATTATTTATCTCATTTAAAATATTTATAATATCTTTGTCCCCTTTATGATAAGTGTAATTTCTTTAAAATTCAGAAATTCCTTCAATCATCTTTTTTGAGGGTATAGATTTCTAAAAATTAAGTGTAATAATGTAACAACATTATTCAGGTCCACATAAATTTCTTTAACATTAAAAAATTTTAATTTAAATTTCTTACTAAGCATTTACTCAAATGCGAGTCACTTTGCTGAACCACTTAAATTTCTTATTAAATATCTACTTTATTTTTAGCTACTTTATTTTACTGAGCATGAACTTATACTAAATCTAAATTTTGATCCTTGAACTGATTAAAGAAAGAAAGATCTTTGAAAGGATTCTGATTTGTTACAAAATCTAATTAAACGGCGAACAAGTTTATCGTATAGTTGCTTTCTTTAAAGAATTATGAATATCTTTTTAAAGTTATAGGTTTGATGACATGGAAAGTGGTGAGCACCTAAGTTCATACACAAGTCATTGTTATTCACGTGTATAAATTAATTTTAATATGAGGAATATTATTATATATTTCATGCTAATTTTGATCTAACTAAATAAATTCATTGCAGTCTAAATAACGGTTTAAAATAAGTGATCTTTTCAGTTAATAAAATTGCTAAAACTAGGAGAAAAGTAGGCATATTATTAGTATCCGATTTTGAAATGAATATGCATATTATGAAATCCCTTCATAGTTAGTTAATTTTTACCTGTCAAAAATAACTTCTAAGATATATTAGAAAATTATAATAAATAAATAGAGGATAACATAAGCTTTAAATTTAGATAAAATTATATTTTTAAGTTTGACATTAATTTAAGAGAAATTATTTACCATTTTTAGATAATAGAGTACAATTCTTTCTTTTCTGATAAGCCACAAACCAATCACTTTTGTAATCTGCAATTTAAACTTGATTACAGCTTCAGACTAGCTTTAATATGTATATGAATGGTAAAGAGAAATATAATTCATTACTAATTTTTTTAATCAAGCTCTCAGATTCAGTTAAAACTGTTTTATGGCGGTTGGAGGAAAAAGCCAAGGCTCACAAAATTCGGAAGATTTGAATTATTTGAATTCGCTACCGAAGAACTCTTTGTGACATTGCAAAGCATTTCGCTCTCACAATACGGACTCGACGGCCTTGACGGCCTCCCAAGGACTTTGCATATTACTTCTAATTTGCCTCATAGATATCACTATGAGCAAGACTCCACTTAAACACCGAAAGCCCAGAGACACCAAGATATAAATCAAAATTGCTCAGCGGCTGTTTCAACTTGTAGAAGAGAATCAAACAACATCTACAAAGAAAGTCGAACAAAATTAGTACCATGTGTAATTTACAGATAGATTCTCCAGTGTAACACAAAATTGAAAACTGGGATAGGCGTTCTGTAGCCTGGAAGCTTTGGCTGGATTTTCAAACAAAATATTAGTTACATAAAAATATGCTTCATAAAATGCATTTTCTCAAAACTGTATTCATATAATAACAATAAAAAACAATTTGCTTGAATAACCCCAGATATTTATCGAGATGATATCTGGGGATAGCGCATCCTATAAGGGACACCTCTGAACAAGGGACATCGGTATTTAAGAGACAATTCTTTTGGTACCGGTCCCTTTGAATTAGGCACGTATTTACCTTTTAATAAGGCACACCTCTATTTAACGGACCAAATGTCCGTTCCGGTGGGTGTCCCTTATTGGAAGGTACTGCATATTTGATATAAAATAAGAGGAAGAGTTATTGCTTAGAATAAAACTGCAGTTGGAACACATATAAAAGAGCTTTGAATTTTCATATGAGCAAGGATACAATTGAAAATTTACAGCACCTCTTCCCAGACTTTTCTATGTGTATTAGATTGTAAGTTAAATGTTTATTGGCTATTCATTCATTGTATATCTTTATAAGGCCCTTGGGTAGCTTAACTCATTAAGAAGGAATAAATATTTGGTAATTTTGTAATAATTCATGTTAATTAATCAATTATTTTACAGTTTAGACCTTTCCTGTCACTTCTTCCGTTTTCATACTAGTATGCAAATTAGCTGTGGTGTATTTAAGATGAGGCTTATAGATTGTAAGACAGAGCGTGTTCTGCCTTTCGAGGCCACGTTATTAGGTTGCTAACTTAGGTAATATTTGTAGTCTTCTACCTTGCATTGTAATTGCCCATATTGAGTCTCCAAGCTAGTTATGTTTGAGAGCCAACTTCTATTCAACTTTAAATTGATTTGTGGAGCCTTCGACCCCTAAACTACTTAAATTTAAACTTTTATATTTGATTGTTACTTTAAGTCACTCGCCACGAGGGGTTGGCGGATTTGTAAGCACCATATGTCCTTCTATTCTTCT